CCTGAAAAACCTCCCCCCCCAGCCGCCAGCATCTTCACTTATATATATATATATATATATATGTATATTTATATATATATATATATATATGTACATGTATATATTTATTTATTTATTTATTTATTTATGGAAAGGAATGGTCGTAGGTTATGATACGAGCTCTGCCCTCTCATGCGCCTAACAATTTGAGTACCAAGCCCTACACTCGGGGGGATTCGAACTCCAGACCAGAGAAGACTTACAATTGACAAGCAGGTGCTCGACCAACTAATCTGAGTACGCGGCGCATATATATATATATATATATATATTTATATAGTGAGTTTTGTAGTTTGATTTCACTGTAATGTCATTTGTACTCACATCCCACTGTAATGTTGTTTGTACTCACATCCCTAATAAAAATAGAGAGATTCTTTAGTAAATAAAATTCATCATATATTTTTTTCTTGCATGGTATCGAATTTAGCGCAAGGTTTGCTATTGCCCAAGCTGCCTTCCATGACCCTTATTTCGTCTCTCAACCCAACACTCGATATTCTTGCCCTAGCTCGTGCTTGCATGTGCAGTCCTAATCGACAATACCACAAGATTGCTTCATTGCGCTTATTGTGATTGCTAACCTTCTTTAGCTTTTCCTTAATGCTTGCAGCACCTTCTTTTGGGATTACTCTATTGTGCTTTGCGTTGTTGCATCCATGCTCAATTCACCTCCTGTTGCACATGTTTGTCATCTACTCAGACTCACTTGTGCTGCCATCACACTCTCACCTATACATGCTCACCCTTAAGTGCCTCACTCACACTTCTTCGCAGAACCTCTCCAACCCTCACACTATAACTCTTGATTTATTTGCTATCATTATTGGCTTTATAGATGGCAAGGGGAGTCGTAATTGTGGTGACTAGATTAGGGATGGCCATGGTCGTGAACGCAATCTTTGCTCTCACTATGTGCATTGCAACTGCACTAATCATTCTCTAGAATATTGTCTCTTTATTGCTCATTATGCTTTCACAACTAATTAAATTTTGTCTACTCCTACTTCTCTCTTTGAATCCGTTACTTTTTTTGTTGGAAGAGAACGACAATATGTTTTTTTAATTTTTTAATTTTTTTTTGACAAGGGTAGATTGATAAAAGACTATCAGATGCCTTTCTTAGAAGCTCACACTATCTCTTTTCCTGTTCTTGCTACAACTTTCTTTGTCTAGGTTTGGATTTAAGTTTTTTTCTCATATATTAGTTAAATGCCAATTATTTTCATCTTTCTACATGTTTTTCGCAAACATGTCATTTTTTATGATGACTCTCCTATCTGTAGGAAATAAATTGTACATATATGAAAATCCCCTAAAAAAATGTCATATTATTTCATGTCATTCTATTTCCTATTTTCTTATTGAGACCAAATATTTCATATCTTTTTATCCCTCTCCACAGTTTAAAAATTGCACAATCAATTGCACGCCTTAGTGCAGTTTCGAAGAAAAATACTTTGAGACATACATCTCACATTAGTTGAGGCTTGCCTTAAGACACGCCTTGCCTCAATTCTGCTGAGATGTGCGTCTCTCACTCTTGTATTTCTTTTCCTTATTATTAGACGGTTAAATACAATCCAGGACTACTGTCACGCGCAAGAGCTCCCCTCCCCAGTCAAGCTTTCTTTCATGATCCAACTAGTGTTTAAAAATTAATTAAGGCGGGCGGACAGTGAAATTAAGGTTTCTATTATTCTATTTCTATCACGATCTTATAATAATTTAATATGTGTCTATGATATTTTTTCAATGAAAATATAATTAAACTTTGATATGCATTAACTTTTACGGTATTCTTTAAAGTTTAATTTTTAATTTTACTTTTATTTCGTGTTATTACCATTTACATTTATCTTAGGACTGTCGCCAAAAGATAGCCTAACACATCCATAACCGATATTCTCCCGTCGGCACATTGATTAGCGATCTAATATTCATAATTATCTGGGTGGTAGGGTAACATCTATGCGAGCAAGTACATTACATTTCCCACCTTTACCATAAGGGGGCGACTCCTTTAACATGCACATTCAAGAATTCATGTATACATTATTTCCCTTTGCCTCACTTATTATTCTCGGCTTTAACATTTTTTTTTTAATAGTAGCATACTAAACCTTTGAGTTCTTATGAGCTTGCACTTCTGCAATTTGTGATTATCACATCCTTTAGAGGGCTAATTGACTCCATAGTGGCATCCCCACATTATACATTCGCATGTTCAGGCAGTCTCCTTAATCTCTAAGTGGAATCATGACCCAAGCATCTTCAATAGCTCACACAACCTTCGTGGATTGCCTCATCCTTAGCTTTTTGTTCAAGTCATCTCAATAGCCACAAGATGAGCAACCCTCCTAGTCTCAGACACCTCACCAACTTTCCTGTATTGTCTCACTCACTCCCTTCGGGTTATGTTTTCTCCACCTGAAAGAGATGAAGCGAACATTCATCTATTACCTTAAAATTGTTTCAGCTTCACCTTTAGGAGAATCGTCTACGCTATCTCTATTTTCCATCACAACTTTCTTACTTCAATCGTTACCCCAAGTTTAGTCTTCTCCACTAGGATGGTGTGACTCTCAATTGCCTTCTTGATCATCTATGGTCACATCATTCATGACCATAAAGCCATATCACTTTAGCCCAGAGCTAGGATAAATCCTACAAGTGACTCTCATCATAGGCTTGTATGGTTGTCCAAGCTTGGGTAGCCTTAAGTCAAGGGTAATCCTACAAGTTGTTCTCATTGAGGTGTTGTAGGATATTTCAAACCTAACGCCCTTCCACGAATGAGAAATCTTATGAGAAATTTTCATAAGGATATATAGGATTTTCTGAACTCTGGCAACCTGTTGTTAGGGATAAATCTCGTGAGTAATTGTTATTAGGGAAATACAAGGTTTTTCAAGCCCAAGCTTTGGAAATCACACGAGCCGCTATTGTCAAAGAGTTTTTTTTATTATTAAGTATGGAGGAAGTTGGAGTTAATGAGAAATTTTTAGTGCAATTATTGTTAAGTGGTTGTTGAATTTTCTTATCTCACAGCCCTTTATGCGAAGGGGAATCTTATGACCAACCATCATTACGGAGTTGTAACATTTTCCAAGCCTATAGAAGGTTGATACTAGGGGAACTCTTACAAGCAACTATATTCAATGGGATGTAGAATTTCTATAACTTTAGTTAGCCCGGAGCTAGTGGAAAATCTATTTTCTCGAAGACCTATTTCAAAATTGCATGTGGATTGTTGTCATCTCCTTTAAGACCTATGTTACAAACATGTTTGTGCCATAATTATTACCACTTTTAAACCTATGTTGTAAGTTTGTGTGCATCGTAACGTTTCTTTTAAGACCCACCTCACAACTCTTCTTATCTCATTGTTTTTTTTATATACTAGGATAGGATCCACTCAAACATTCTTAGTGACACCTACAACCTTACTATGCTCCCTAGCCCAACATGCTATCTTCATCTCTAAAAAACTAACTTGATAATCTTTAATGAATTTTATAACCTTTTGTACGCTGCTTCATCTATCATTACATTTTTTCCACACCTTTAATGGAACGATCTACCCGACCACTCATAGTGGCTTCCACGGGTTTTATGCACTACCTCATATATTGTCTCGGTCTAGCTTCAATTCCAATGAATGGATCAACTCAATTTTTCTTAGCGGTCCTTATAACGATCATGCATTTTTTTTCATCTGCCATTTTAAGGTCTATGGGCTCTAAAAGATCACCCTAGGTTGTATATTTCAAATGTTTTGAATTTGATTTATGTTGATATCTTGGTAAGTATTTTATAAGGCAGATTGAATATTTTAGATAAGATGCTATCTAATATTTTGCCCTCTATGAATTTTATTATATGGTCTGAGGTTTTCTAGAGGCACAAAGTTTTGTGATTAATTAGCTTTCTCGATTATGTGTGAGCATTCTTTATTAAGGCTATTGGATGAACTCTGTTGTGCATTATTTTAGTAATAACATTTTGATTTGAGAAGACTATATTGCTGTTAGTTTAGAGTTAATGATGACAAACCCAATTCAAATCATATGATTCCATCACTTTATTATTATTATTTTCTACTCAGTCAATATAGGTAGGTTTTTTTTGGTGGGAAGGAGGGGGGAAGGTGAGCCTAAAGGGCAATATGCACGATTCAAACCCGCAACCTCACGGTGGGAAACTAAAACCCAACTACTACGTCGTTGGTAATGCGTTAGTCAATAAAGGTGGTTGACCTTACCCGACTGATGGATCCTTACCAATAACAATCATGCATTGTTTAAGAAATTTTGTTAGACTTGTGTGGGTAGGTTGTTAAAAGGGGTAATTTAAAGTCGACCTTCCTAACATTGGGATTCATGCTCTTTCAAGTGCACCATATTGTTTGGAACTTATAAAGTTAGTTATTAGAGTACATGCAAATTTAAACCATATTTGTAATATGATATCATCACAATTAGGCTAATTACTAGACTAAAGGGTTATTAAGTCCTTATTGACATGAAATTGTTAAGTATAATTATATCGAAGCGCTTTAATATATATATTCATATTTTTTAATGGAAATGATTTAGGTAAAATTCTCGTTGGTTACGGTTTCATTTTTTAACACTCATCATTGCTAGAGGAGCTTGAAGAGATTTGCCTTGAAAATGGAGGTATTGAAGAGTGGAGAAAATAAATGAGCATTTTAAAATTGGAGGTTCAATATGTTTACTATATTTTAAATATTAGAAGGAAGCAAAATTAAATTTAAATGATGACATACATTATAAGGAAATTATTAGCGAATGTGGTTTATTTTTAATACCTAAATTATTTTGGGTTGAATTTTAAATATAGATTTCATGCTTATGTTTTTATGGTTTTTCTTTTTAGAACATGATGCAAGAACATTATTTTATTTCACTAATTGAAATTTAGTATTTAGGTCTTGTTCCTGTGATTCACCGGTTGGTCTGTTCTGGGAAAATTCTACGCTCTCAAGAGACAATTGAAGATATGAGAAACCTACTTTCTCAAAAGGTATACATTGAAGTTGTTATAGGAGGTGAGAATTTATAGCATCAACTATTCTTTTGAATATTGATACTTGTTACATTACCCTTCATACTCTCTCCTGAATCTCGATCACTAACCACAAAACTTCAAAAAGAAAGATGTTCACTTGTTTTTTCTACTTGATTTTTTTGGTTTAGATGATGCTCTCTTTTCTCTTTCATAGAATGGGTGCCAAAATGCTTTCTGAATGTCAATCATTGTAGTTATGTTAAACAAAAATGCAAACTTTTTAATGATATTCATTTGATTTGAACAACCTAAGATAGATTAGAGGAATGTTGTATTACATTGTGATGACCATTTATTAGTAAATTGCGTGAGTAATTGATTGAACAATTAAATGAACACTTACTTTTTTTATTGGTAATTCAAAATCAAAAGTTAATGAAATTAAAATTTATATGAAAAATATTATGAAGCATTTATGAGGTGTTATCTTTCTTTCTAGAGCAATTCCACTCAATTTAATTTCTTCTTGGCATATGCATTTTTGGTTTAGATGATGTTCACTTTTTCTTATATAGAATGGGTTCCAAAACGCCTTATGAAGTTGTATATGGACTTCTGCGATAAGTTGACTGAGGCTACTAGTAATAGGTTGCTGAAAAAATTGTTCAATTTGGAGGTATGTAGATAAGGATTTTTAGATGTTTCCTTTTAGAAGGATTTTGAATTAGTTAGTACAATTGTGAAAAAAGTAGTGGCTTTTTTATCTTGAATTAGGTTTCAGAGGATGAAGTCATTGTATCAGATTGCGCCTTACAGGATGCATCAATACTATCCTTTTTGCATGCTCTTGAGGCCCACAAATCAGTTGCACTGTTAGACATTTCTCATAATTCTCTAGGTATGATTCTCTAATTTAACTTTGCTAGTGTATAAAATTTCATAACTGGTTTCATATTATGTTATTGCCCATTATCTTATTTATGACTTTGTGTTCTGCTGCCATAGTTATTTTTTGGCCTTGCAGGAAACGAGACAATGGAGAAAATCCAACAAATATTTACATCTTCAAACCAAAAATATGGTGGTCTAACTCTGGATTTGCATTGCAATCGGTTTGGTCCAACCGCTTTATTCCAGGTTCTTATGTTACAGTCATATTCTTTTATATATATATATACATATATACATACATACATACATACATACATATATACATATAAAGTCAACTAAGCTGTCAAATTTATTATTTTATTTAATACTTTTTTTGTAACAAAACTACACTAAGTTTAAATTTTATGTTAATTTTTTGGGAAATTTACATACGTTGCACACTATTCTTATGTATTTACATATCTCACATTTAAACTTTCATCTTGACACACATCACTTTGGTGTTTTACCTTATGCATGAAAATGTGTATTTCACTTAAAGTAATGATAATGCTATTTTTTATGTGATATTAAAAGATTTGAATGGTATGTGCGTGAATTTGAATTTTTAGGTGTGAGATATTTAAATACATAAGAATTGTGTGCTATGTATAATGCTTTTTCCTTTTCCTGAGAAAACTTTGCCTTTATGAACAGATATGTGAATGCCCTGTCATGTTCAAACGCCTTGAAGTGCTTAATCTAGCTCAAAACCGTCTCACTGATGCCTGCAGTTCATACCTTTCCACCATCCTTGAAAATTGCAAAGGTTTGAAGAAAACTAATTTTTCAAGCTGTTGTTTGCTTCAATATTTTTGGATTTATATTGAAATAGCCAATCTGTTATGAGACCTGGGCGCTGCAAGGTACGCTGGTTCTTATAATTGACTGAAAATTTTTAAAATCTGACAAATTTGAAGAGACTTAGGCCCCATTTGGGGCAGCTTATAGCAGTGGGCGGCGTTTTCAAAACGCTGCCGTCTCGAGCTTATAGCAGTGGGCGGCGTTTTCAAAACGCTGCGCTGCCGTCTCATTTGTTTTGTGCGTTCCGGGAGCTTAATAAAAAACGTCGTTTTCATTTATTTAATAGACGCGGACGTGGGAGAGACCCCGTGGCCCGTGTCTTGAAGAAGCGTTCGGGTGTTTTTTTCCTCTGGTGCCCTTCTGTCGTCTCTGGCTTGACTCCTCTCGCCCTCGCCTCTTACCTCTTACCCTCGCCTCTTACCTCTTACCCTCGCCTCTCCCTACGGTGTTTATTTGAACTAGAACGAAGCTAATCTCAAATTTTGACAACTTTCAGCTATGCTATATTAGATAAACAATTTTTTTCTTTGTAATCATTCCAAAGTAGCAGTATCGTTCATTGTTATATGTACACAACTTTTTTCTGTCATCGTACTTTTAAATTTGAAGCAATTTAGTATCCTTGATTGGTTTGGTAGTAAAGATACATTCACACTTTTTTTCTTTATCAAAAGTTCTGTAATTAATGAATATTTTATCTTAAATAAACGCTTGTAGTTCTTTGACCACCCTGCTCGCAAGATTGGTGGATCGAGAAATTAGAGGTAAACATCATTACTGCGTTTGCAAAAACACACTAACCAAAAAGTTAAATAGCTTTTTCAAAACAGGGGCAGACTGGTCATTTGCTGCAATACAGCTGTTTTTCAAACACACAAACCAAACAACCAGACTGCAATACAGCTGTTTTTCAAACACACAAACCAAGCAACCGGTCCTGATCAGCAGCTTATCAGGATAAGCTGCTTATCTGTATAAGCTGGATAAGTCTGATCAGCAGCTTATCAGGATAAGCTACTTATCTGTATAAGCTGGATAAGCTAAGTCGCAACTGCCCCAAACAGACCCTTTGTATAATGTCATCTGGATCTTTGCATTGTTCTCATACATCGTTATGCAGATGTTTTGATTCTTCATGTTTATGATAAAGTCTTACCCGCTAAATGATTTGAAATCCTCAATTACATGCAACTGGATTTGAATTCGATGTAATAATATTTTTAGCTTGTTTGGCTTCATATTACAGTTTTTGACTGAGTGTCAATTTTATGTTTTCCTGTGATTAATTTTGCTAATTATATTATAAAAAAGATGAATGCTAATGTATCTAGATCAAATAAAGTATTAGCACCTAACTAATCATATTAATATGAATCCTTTTTTTAATTCTGATCAGTATATGTAGCAAACTATTTGGCATAAATGTCTACCTTTGAAAATTATCATCTTATCTTAGTTTCATGTATTATTTTGTAGCACTCTACAACCTAAATATAGAACAATGCTCTCTAACATCTAGAACAATTCAGAAGCTCTCAGACTTCTTGCATGATGGATCTATCCTTTCACATCTTTCGATAGGTACTCCTTAAATTTTTTTTTGTTTTTCAATTTATTTTATCCAATTATTTCCTCAAATCTATGAGTCTTATAGGAAAGAATAATCCCATCTCTGGAAATACAATGGTGAATCTGCTATCCAAACTGTTATCTTTGAAACGGTATACATCTAAAAGACCTTTGTAGATCGCTAATTTATCACAAAATGGGATTTTTTTTTTAAATACTTGGTTTACAGTTTCTCAGAACTAAGTCTTACTGGTATAAAGTTAAACAAGACTGCAGTAGAAGGGCTTTGCCAACTGCCTAAGTCATCCAGTCTATCTGCTTTGTTTCTTGGAGAGACCTGTATAGGAGCTGTGAGTGAAATGAATTTGTCAACTCCCTTAATATTAAAAAATTTCTCCCTTAAAAATACATAAGTATCTATTTTCTGTAATGTAGGATGGGGCAGTGAGGTTAACTGAAGTATTAAGTTGTGGAGCAAAAGAGTTGGAGAAGTTGGATCTGGCTACCTGTGGTATCACCTCTGATGTTATTGGCAGCATTTGTGCAAATATTGTTCGGATTGATGGTATTGTAGAGCTGAACCTTAGAGGAAATTCCATTGGTGATGAGGTTTCTTCTCTTTCATTTGAAAAGCCGATTTTGTTTTTTTTATTATGTTTAATTTTCGGGAAATTTTGATACATACCACACAATTCTTATGCATTTACTTATCTAAGACCTAAGGTTTGATATTTACAATTCTAACACATTGGTATTAAAAAAATATGCATGAATATGTTTATTTTACTTTTAAAAAATTAATGATAGCGGTATTTTTTATGTGATGTCAAAGATTTGGGTGTTATGCATGTAAATATGAAAGATTAGGTGTTAGATATGTTAATTTATAAGAATTGTTTGGTCTGCATGATTTTAATCATATACTTATTTTGAGGTTGAAATGCATCGCAGGGTTGTTATGCATTGGAATGCATGCTTTTGGATCCACAATGCAGTGTCAAATCTCTTATTCTGGACAGATGCCATCTTGGGCTCAGTGGAATACTTCGAATTGTCATTGCTTTAGCAGGTCTGTGGAGTAAGAACATGTCATTATCCAAGAAAATGCACGAATAATACAAAATTAGGCCATTGATCTCGTATCAGGATAATAAAATGTTTGATTTTAATCACTTCACCTGTTTGGTTGAGATTAGTACTACTTATTAAATTAACGTTAGCTCATTTTCATGGAGTAATAACAAATGCAATAATGGCTCATCGAATTTTATTTTTTGCATGATCATTGCGTATATTTCTGATGAGTAATATCGTTAGCTCATTTTCATGCCATACTTTTTTGGTATGTGTTGTGTGCTATAAATGATTCAAACTCAAAGAGATTTATAGGATGCCATACATATTATTTATTTGTTTCCTCCATACACACGCTTAAAGAGATTGCCAAGGAACATTCAAGAAAGTCCTTATTACAAGGACTAAGAGCTAAAGCCACGGTCTCTCCCACCAAAGTAAATTAAAATGCATTTTCCTCTCCATTTTCTCCAACATGTGCGCCCGCTAGCCTCCTCCTTCCCTTTTTATTATTTGAAATTTCAATTTTAACAGCTACACATGCTGTTAGTTTTTGCAATTCTCACTCTGGATAATGGTTCAAAGCATTAAAAGAAGAGCTTTTACTTAACTCTAGTCTCTTAATATCCTCACTTATGATGAAGGCATGCATATCTTTGAGTTTCAACTTAGTGGACTCCCAAGATCTATTTATCATCGTTATACTTCTGCACTTACTTTCCAAAAACATTGATAATAAGCTCAAAGCACAATTTCATCCTCAATGTTGATATCAACTAAGTTCAACTAACTTATGATTATTTTGGACTCCTTGATATGTTATGCTATGGAAGCGCCCTTCTATCGTCCTAAGATTTTAAAACATTTTTATTAGAAATTATTTATCACGAAGGCTTCTTATATAATAAGTTTTCATGACACGAAATGTAGTCTTCTCATGCAATACCTTGAAGGTCACATTCTTTTTATTGTCAATATATTACTTATTGCCAGTTTGTCTAATTATCTTTTGTTATGGTTGTGGCTTTATCTACAGAAGGTAGTGCTTTTTCTCATAAATCTATGTTGTTATTTGCATATTTCATTATTTGAATTCTTGCTATTTAAATTGCTTATCTTCACCTTCCCATTCCTCATTTTTTGTCGATCCCATTTTTGCCTCAAATGCCTACGTCAACATATTTTTAAAATGTTTGAAGTGGGACTAATCCAAAGTTTTGATGTCTTGATAATTTTATCTCTGAGATTTGTTCTGAATGAAAATGCCCTCTTGATTGGGCTCATTTTAGTCCTTTGGTTGATTGAAAGTTTGAGGATACAAACACTTATTTAATATTGTTGCGTGATTGTTTCTCCCTTCGGAGTTGTTGGAGTTGTTTGTTTGGAGGAATTGCATTTTAAGTATTTGATTTTTGAAAATTCAAGTTTTTGATTGGTTTAAAGAGGAAATCAAAAGTATTTGTATGAGGAATTTGAATGAAAGTGAGCTCTACATCGAGTTTTTCTGATTCAAATGCCATCAATCTCCTCATGATTTCCTACCCTGACTATCTCTCGTCTTGATTTTCTCTTCTTTTGGGTCTTAGTTGATACGGTTGATGCTATTCCATGCCTTCAATCTCATACTTGAGACCTAGCATCTCAACCTAAACCAAAGTCTCATTCAACTTCAAAACTTGGCACCATTGTCTTGCAATACACAATCCAGAACCTCAAACCCAACCTAAATCAATTTTAAAGCTTGGCACACTATCACGTCTCTCCTAGTTAGAAGCATTAACCCCCAAACCTTTTTGGTGACCTAGCTTTATTCTATTTTCATTTTTATTTTAAATTTTTATTAGTGCCGAACAAATGCAAGAAAATAATCTCCTTAATTCTTAAGGCATAATATTTTATTTTCATTGTATTTATAGTATCCCCAAATTCTAAGTACTTGATAACTAAAAAATTCATCAAGGGAATGGGCAGATGAGCTGTCTTTAATATTTGATATTAGTATTGTTGTCATCCAAGTTTGATCGTCATATTTAGAAAGAGTCTTCGAGATTAGTTATCGATTTCTTTAAACTTAATTGAATGATTACTATGGATCTTGAGACAATCTAAAAGTGTAGATTGTAAGGAACATCTTTTGCGACCATTGCATAGAGATTGTGAAAACATGAATCCCAACACTCTTATTTGTATGATTAGGAATAATCTGGAATCAATAATTTTTTAAGTACGAATCGCTGTTTCAATCAAATCATCAAGCAAATTCATGTTGTAGTTTTTGCCATGTTGTTCAATTTACTTGTTCAAATTGAATCATTAAAATTTTATTAATTCATACCCTTGATAATTTATATCTATAGTTTTGAGTCATTACTCAAAAATATATATCCTACTTATTACTCAAATTTTAGTTGAATGTGGAAGGTTGCTTGAAAATAATGAGCTTTACTTGGTTGAGTTGAGCTTTAGAAAATGCCAGGTTGGGATTGTTCTAACTTGGCATACAATTGGGTCATTATATATATGCACATGTCTTTGTTTTATGCAAGCATGTATAACGTAGGTAGTGTATAGGGTTGTATATAATAACAACTTGGGTGAGATTGAAAGTCCAAAATATCAATTTTTTGGGGCTCTAGTCAAAATTAGCTAGTTCGGGGCTTGGTAGGATCAGATTGAACCTTATGCTCTTAAAGTCCTGATTCAGCCATGCCATTGTACAAATAGGAGATATTTATAGTTTATCTTGAAAGAATAGGGATTTGTAGAGGGGAATATTAGTTTTCAATTATGCTTTTCTTATTTGAAGAGGTTTGAATGAAAATTTGGATTTTCTTAAAATTTCCTCAATCTACTTTGGCCTTTGTGTTCTTCACTTTCAAATTTAGTTGAAACAGGAATACATTAAAACTTTACTGTCATTCATAATTGATCACATAAGTTTAAGAAGTTATAACAAAATTTGGGGTTTTTTTCTTCAAAATCTTAGAAGTATCTAAACAATTAAGTTATTTACACTTAATGTGTTTTCTTGCATCTTGTTGACATCTTTTTTCCTCAAACAAAGAAAATGCAGTTCATACTAAATTCAACCATTTTCTTCTAACCCTTCATAGTAATTTGCAGGAAATGAATCTTTGGAAGAGCTCCATCTTGCTCGAAACGCCAATATTGCTAATGAGAGAGCTTTGGAGCACCATCCCAAGTCCAATAAATCTGCTACAGTGTGCAGTACTAATGAAACATGCAGGGAGCTCGAAGTTGCCGATAGCGAAGACGACAAGGATTCAAAGGATGGTGCAAGTGATAGGAGTCCTTCGATATGCTCTCGGCTGATTAGTGAGCTATCGGTTGGGATCGATGCAACCAGGCATCTTCAATTTCTTGATCTGAGCGAGAACAAATTGTCAAGCGAAGCAATTGAGAGCTTGTATTCATCCTGGTCTTCGGCGAGATCGAGATCCAGCCTTGAGGCTTACAAACATCAGAATGAGGATCAAATTTTACATTTTTGTGTAGTAGGAAGGAGGTGCTGTGGTGTTAGAAGCTGTTGTAGGAAAGATTGATGGCTGGCTTTGATTTATGTACAAAATGTCATATAAATAATATGAAAATTAAAGAGATGAACCCCTAATTAAGGACATGATTTACAAACACATAATAATTGTAGTCTTTAATTTATGCAATTTTTTATGTTATTTTTAATGCCCAACAAATAATATTTATCATGCAGAATTTTGGTTGTGATACGACATTTGAGTGATGGTAACTTAACAAGAGGAAATTTTTGGTGCTTGATTATGTAAATACATAAGAATCGAGCAGCATGTATGTAAATCTAGCCCAAAATATTTGCTTTTTAGATGGAAATGCAGAGAATAAGATATTTTAAGCTCAAGAAATGCTCGTGAGAAGTTGGGCAAGAAGATATGCTCGACTCTTCTTTCTGCAGTGAGAGACGGATGAGAAGCAGCAGCAGATTGAGGATTTGAAAGAAAGTGTTGGATTCTTCGAGCAGGAAACATGGAAGACACGGCTTTATTGTTCTGCTGTGTGGCTGCTTGTCCTATGATTTTGATTAAGAAGATGGTCTCTGAATAGTCTGCTTGATTTGGTAATGTTAGTTGATAGTTGTAACGATTGATTTCTGCTACTTTTTTAGTTTAATATGAGATGCAGTTTTTTAGCTCTGATTCTGTAGTTTGGCAGTTTTTTTTTTTGTTATGTTAATAAATTATTTTTTTATTTAATACGAAATTCAATGTTTTGGAAAGGCAACTCCATACCATGAAATATAACAAATAAATAAATATATATATAAAGAATGGTGCAAAATTAATTTATTTACCAAAAAAAATTAAAATGAGATGGAAAATAAAAATAATCATTGTTTGATTCATCAACCATAATGAATACAAAAGGCTTTGTTTAAATAACATGTTATTCATTTGATTCTTCTTTTTATATCATTTTATTAACATACAAGTTTTATCCATCCTCAAAAGAGATGCTTGTTTCTTCCAAGGACAAGTCTTTGAGATGTGCCAAATGGGTTGTATTTTTCCTTAAAATATACTTTTTTTAATTCATTAATTTTAAAAATATTAATAACTATTATGACATGTAAAATAACTATAAATTTTAATATCTCAAAGTTCTTAAAAAGAAATTAACTAAAAAAAATTTAAAAGGTGATTGAAAAAAAATAAAAAATTGCACACTTTCCAAAGAACTTAAGGATGCAGTTTCTTTAAAGATAAAAACATGCTGTCCAACAGCTAATATTTTTGTTAATAAAACACCCATCTATATACCATCAATTACCAAAACATCAATCATAAAAGCCAATAATGGAAACCAACATTAAGAATGGAATCAAGCCTTTATTTTCTCATAACCTTGACAACACAATCTTCCCATCAATCCCCTTCCCTTAGCAAAACAACATCCCCGTTAATTCTCCTCAAAAACTATGAAGAAAAACAGATCCCTTTTGTGAATTTGGTCACTTTTTCACTCAAGTCCACAACCATACAATCTAAGATAACAAAATTATATTTACATAAGCAGGTTATCACTTACTTATGAGACCATCACCAGCTCAAAAATGGTTCGAACTGCAACACAAATGATAAATATCAGTTAAAAAGATTAGGGAGATGACCACTTTTGAATCCTGAACAAAAAAAAAAAAAAAAATAATAATAAAAAAATTACAGACCTTCATCTTTCGAGATGTTTGGTTGGTCGACCAACAGTTGTCTAAATGCAGCTATATCATCGCCGCTGAATAAACAAAGTTTTGCATTTGTTAATTGATCAAACAACAAGTGCAACTGCTATAATCAAAAGAGCAAATAGTAATAAAACCAATGCCATGCACCACTGTTGTGCCTTAAAAAGATGGCAGATCAACTTTTTAGCTAGTGGTTTAAGCTATTCAATGTACCTTATCAAATGTTCTTAAACCATATTAATATACAATTTGATGAGCATGGGATTTTTTTTCCCCATTATTATTAGTAATGGAGCGAGAGTATTAAATATAGATTGAGAAATCAATTGAGAAATGGGCAAGCACATTCATTGATTACAAGTATGGAACTCATCTAAAAGTCATCCCTTCCTTCACGGAGCATTTCTTCCATTTCTATAGCTCTATCCATATATTGGTATAGGGCAACTTCCTACATCACCAAAAATTGAGTCATTTAGTCTAATTCTTACATATAACTAGAAGATCATGTGATATATTTTTTTTTCTTTTTCTTATGAATTCTTATTTGACTTTTGTGTGTTACCGATCATTGAGTCCTATCAAGACACACAAAATTGTTTGGTTATTATCAAGTATGTACTAGTGTCTTGAGTCATTTGGGCCTTGCGTAAGTAGTAGGAATGTGGAACGCAAGCCAAATCTGGTTAGAATTCCTTTCAGCCATTTATGATCATTGACTACCATTTAACCTCCACGTCAACTTTTGACCTTCCCTCATCATCCACCATCTTCTTTCTGACACGCATGGCATGAACATTTCTTATCTCTCATCCCTAACCCCACCTCACTATTTGACCGCCACATCAAGTTTTGACATCGAATCCTCATCATCCACCAACCTCTCTCTCTCTCTCTCACACACATACACACAAATCGCACGAACATTCCTTGTCTCTAAACCCTAGTTAGTTTGTTGAAAACCCTCTTGAATTCACTTATTCAGCAGGCCATTTAACCATGGAACCTCAAAATAACTCTTAGAAATCATAAAGCATCTCTTCAAACTCCATCAAGTTATAAAACTTTACATCTCCCAATATATCCACTAAGATGGCCGCACCTTCTTGACTCTTAGGCTTCCATTATCATCACTGCATGCACGGTACACTCTCTTATATCATTTATATATCTATCTTTGAAAAAAATTATTAACTACTGTTGACCTCATTTTTAGTGAGGTCTTAGTCTCCTACTCTTAGAACCTAGGATCTATCTTTAGGAGTTCTTATTGACCATCCTAGCGTACTAACAATGGAGCCCACCTGAGAACTTCAAGACTCTTCTTGACTCATTTTTGTGAAAAACTCGCATGAATGGTTCCAAGCACTCAACTTCTAGTTGCAAGGGCTAAGGACCAACATGTAGAGGGCCTGAAAATGAGTTCCTATAGGATCAAACAACATTAGGTGAACCCTTTGTGACTCGATTACTCGCGAACGCCGCAATTCACGCAATCACTGCACCACACACGACTTTGACTTGCTTTGACTCGCCCGTCGGCGAACTCGTCCGGACGACCCCGAATGACGAAACGGACTGCGCCGACGCATCCGGAACGTTAACTTTAGCTACTCGTCAACTTTAGCTAGGAAGGACACCCGTATTACTAGGGTTACGCGCGCAAACAAATGACACGTAAATCGATGCATTTTTTTAAGCGGACCCGGGCTGAACCCAGGTTCAACTCGAGTTTGACTTGGGTTGGATATGGCCTAATTTTGAATTTCAAATTCGTCATTTAATTTTATCTTAATTGAGAGTTAAAATTTTCCATTTGAACCCAACTACCTGAATGGAAGTCTTTTAATTCCCCGCCTAATCACCTGTAACGGATACTTTTTTGGATATACAATTCGAGCGTTCCATTCACCTTCCTGGCATTCGGCCCCTTCTTCGCCCCGCTCTCG